TAGGCATTGTCAGCTGTGAGGCCTTCTATAGAGAGGTGTGTGCCTTTCTAAATCATGTCCAATCAATTTAATTTACCACAGGTGGACTCTAATCAAGGTGTAGAAACAGCTCAGCAATGATCCAGAGAAATGGGAGGCACATGTGCTAAATTTCAAGTATTGTTGCAAAGGGTCTGAATATTTATGCCAATGTGATATTTCAGTTTTTTCTTTTTAATAACTTTACAGACATTTCTAAAATTCTGTTTTCACTTTGTCATTATGGGGTACTGAGTGTAGGTTAATGAAAAAAAATGAATTTGAGCGATTGTAGTATCAGACTGCAACATAACAAAATTGAAAAAAGTGAAGGGGGTCTGAATACTTTCCAAATGCACTGTAAGTAGATTTCTAAGATAATGAAAAAAAATGAATTTGAGCGATTGTAGTATCAGACTGCAACATAACAAAATTGAAAAAAGTGAAGGGGGTCTGAATACTTTCCAAATGCACTGTAAGTAGATTTCTAAGAAGTGTTCAGTGTAAGAGATTTTGTTACAATTGTTCTGTTCAGCATCTCTTAGATCTTAACCTGCACCCAGCCATTTTCTAGTAAGAATTACTGGTTTTGTTCTGAGGGCTTTGTTTTCTACGTGTCACTTGAATAACTGTAATAGAATGTAAGACTAGATGAAGGTCATTCTGCTTCTTCAAAAGATGGAATATTTTTAGATTGTATTGAATTGTGTAACCTGTTATTGCCAAGGCTCTCAAGGCAATATCTCTTTTTTTAAAGTTTACTTTTGTCTGATGGAACCCATTTTTTTTCATTACTGAATATCCCAAAACTGGGACATTTGTTTTCTGTACTCTTAAGTACATTATTTTTATTTTTATAATAAAGGGTAGTTCTTACAGTTTAGCTGGAAAGTTTTGATACAGGAATAGCTGTACCATATTGACAGTGCTGATCTATGAACATTTTATTTATTCATATAGCAACTTGTGCATCACCCCACTCCAGAGACTCTAGGTCATTTACAATAATAACATCAACCAATAAGAAGTAACTCCGACAGACAGAGTAAAAAAGACACATTAGCCCTATATAATCTCAGGCAATCTGTCCATATCACTAGTGCAAAAGTCATACAGAATAAAATGCTCTTTAGCGCCTTATAAGCCAGCAAGTTAGAGGCCCCATGAACCTCAGAGGAAAAGGTGCTCCAAACCTCCAAAGCAGGAGGTTGCCACTGAGAAGTGTGTAGATTCCCTTCACCTCAGGATCTTCAGCATATTTTCTGGGAAAAATGCACCGGACAGATCACATCTGGCTGGGAGATTGTCTTGAAGGTCTTTGAGGACTAAGCCAGGTAGGGCTTTAGAATATAAATCCAGCACTTTAAATTGCACCCAAAAATATATTGTCAGCGAAGGCTGCCACAGAAGAACCCATGTTATGCTGCTATACCTCCTCTTGCCTATTAGCCCTTGGGCCAACTGCAGTTTCTGGTCATCTTCAAAGCCAAAATTCTATAGACCAGATTGCAGCAGTCTAAATGTAAGGTGATAAAGACATGAGTCACTGTCTATATCTTTTTGGTCCCAGAAAGATATACCAGCCAAAGCTGGACAGAGGACTCCTTGGCCATGATCTCCACCTCCTGAGTCCAGCAGGACACCCAAGCCATGGCTCTGCTCCACTGAGCTAAACTGAATAGATTACCTACACGCAGTGGCTCCGTCTTGCAAGGATTTGATTTGAACCTGTTCTGCCCCATCCTGTAGAGAACATAGGGCTGGTGCATCCAAGCCCTCACAGCTTGTAGACATTAAGCAAGAATAAAAAATACATACTGATATTTTGTAGACTGGTTCTCCAGAACTGTAGAAACAAATAAATACGTAGGCTCCTAATAATGCTTCAGTCAGAGAGATGCTTTGGAAGTCCCATCCTTAACGGCTTTCATTTCAATTCAACTCCAGTCTTTTTTTATAATTCTGATAAATCTGGAATTCAGTTTCCCAGACATGTCAAGGTATTTTAATTGATTTACAGATTTTTTAGATTTTAGCTCCATGTTACTTTTAGATGAAACTGAGTTCCTGAGGAACAAGCAACTTTAGTTTCTAATATAAATCCAATATAAAGGTGAACTTCATTTCTTTGTTGAATTCATAATTTTAAGAATAATTTAATTTATTAAATAATTATTTAATCATAATGTTTAAAGCAAAGCAATTAAAGTTATGAGGCCTTTTGAATCACTTTCTTATTTAAATTTTGAAATTGCTTAAAATGAATGTATCTATTCAGGCAGTGCTCCAATAGATGAATGGATGGTGAATGCTATAATTTAATTGGGTTTCTATCCACTGACATTATTTAAATCTGCTTTCATATAAACAAATTATTATCTAAAGTGGATGATCATTAGCACAGCCAGCAGTAATTTGTGTGATCTCAAAATCTAAAGAACCTTCATTGTACAGGCATTTGGATGAAATATGTACTAGAGTATGAAGTGAAATTAAAAGAGGAAGTTGTTTCAAAGGAACACCTTATTAATGCCCATCATGTTTCAAAACTGACTCTTTCAGATATAAAATGGGTATAAAACACTTGAGGTATCGCTGCAGGTCCTGTTGTAAATATATTTGTTAGTAAATGTCAAAAATAGGATACATTAACATGAAACAAGGGATGTGGCAACAATCATAAATAAAATACCCAAATAGTGTTAAACTGAAACAAAAACAGCAAATATGATGAAGAGCACCAGTCTGTGATCCACATAAAATAGTCAACACTTTGATCCTAATACCGTTCCTCTCTTACAATGGGATACTTATTTAAAAACAAATACAGGTACTCCTCACGTAGTGACCACAATTGGGACCAGCAACTCCATCACTAAGTGCCACAGTCACTAAGTGAAACCTCACATGACCGTGGCAGGCTTACGACCTTAACTTCTGCTGTGGTTGTTAAGTGAGACATCACATGACCACGATTTGCAATTTTATTGCTGGCTTCTCCGTTGACTCTGCTTATCAGAAGCCGGTTGTGAAGTGTGCAAATGGCAATCACGTGACCACGGGATGCTGCAATGGTCATAAATGCAAGGACTGGTCATAAAGTTACTTTTTCAGTGCCATTGTAACTTTGAATGGTTGCTAAATGAGGCAGTCGGTAAGCAAGGTCTACCTGTAGGGTATTAACATTTAATTATTTCATGTTATCTATAAGAAAGCAAAATGACATCTTTGCTGAGTCTATCCAGAGTTCATTTTATAAAATAACTGAAAGTAATGCTGAGATTTGAAATACTTTCTCAACTGTCCCTTGTCAGTAGTAGTCTGTTTCTTACAAAAGCATGTCTATTTTTAACTGAAAACTTGTTTTAACTGAGCAGTATTCTTCAGATCCACCAAAATGGGCTTGTAGTTTGCAGTTCCTGGAATTAGAGCAGTTGCTTTCAAATATAGAGATTGTCTACCAGAGATTATTTTTTGTTACAAAAATTAGTTACTTTAAGGTTAAAAGGTAAGTATTGTGAGTGTTTGTGCACTAAAGAAGCACCAAGCAGATCATGGTGAAGGCCCTAAAAAGCAGGTGCCTGGTTGGTTTCACACACACATCACTTCTGCCTGAAACATGCATATCTCAGCCCTGAACCTAACTGTCAAATGGATGGAATGTTGTGCAAATCCCTGTAATTCCACACTCATTCTCTCATTTTAACCTACTGCTGTCATGATATGGATTCATTACTTCTGTTTTAGGATAAATATCTATTTTCTCTCAAGAAACTAATAAAATCTCATTTATTGTAGTGGAAATGGCATTTTTCATCTAGCATCACTGTTTTTTCCTTCTTCCTTTTTTAAATTAAAATTCTCTTGACACTTACTCATCCTCAGATAACTTCACATATTGAGAGTGTCTCAACAGAAAATAAAGCAGGTTGTTTATTGCCTTTTTTTAATCCAGAAGGTGCCTCAGTTCATTTTTACTAGTGTGAGAAAGCTGCAAACTATACAATATGTCTTATAGTTTTGAATTGACATCAGACAGAGCAACACTGGTATTAGACTTATTTCTATCATCCTACTTCATTTTGTTCTTGGCACAGTGAGAACTGGTCTGTCTCATGTTACTGAAAAAGCAAGAGAGAAATCTGTCTACAAAGGAATATCTTTGAGTTGATGAAATATTCCATACTACTATTATAAATACTGCAAGCTTTTAATCCTTCAGTCAACAAAGCAAATTTGCAGCTCATCTGGACAGTTGCTGAGTTTACTCATTGCATTACACATAATAGGATTTATTTGGATTTGATTTAGCATAGTGTGTGAACTTAGCCACTGTGGTTGGTATACCATAGTTCATCACTTTGATAAATCTCATAAATCTAGCTAAATTTTGTGAGGTGAAGGGGACAAGAGCCAGAAAATGATTTTTTTTTCAACATGGTTCCCATATTGTGGAACATCCTTCTTCTAGAAGCTGATTTGGCCCCCTTAGCAATGGTTTTCCAGAAGGTTGTGAAGGTTGTACTCTTTCAAAGGGCTTGACTGTGCGCCAGCTGGAATTGGGTTTTATTTGTTAATTTATTATTATTTTATTGTATTTTTTTAGTTTGATTATTTTGATCTGCTGATATTGTAGTGGTTTTATTTCTTTTTTGCAAACCACTGTGAGGCAATTATGATTCCATGGCATATAAGTAAGGTTGATAAATAAATAGCTGTGGGTTATTCATCAGCCCATTGTTACGTCATGGTTTAGTGTTATATGCAAATCTAGCCAGCTAACTTCCTGATGATACCTGTCTGCTTTCTCTACTTCTGATCCAACATGCAGCCACGTTAGCATTCATATGCTGGCCAGGACAATAGAGTAGGATACTATGGCTATGACTATACTATAATGCATGATAAACATGTAGAACATTTGCATGTCTGTATTAGGTAGGAAAAATGAATAAGAAATTACTGTAAGCACTTTATGGTGGTCAATAGTGCTCCCTTTTTTCATATCCTGTGACACTAATCATAATTCAATGGCTATCTATTTTCTTGAGGTGGTATTCTCATTCAGTTGTCTTTAATATGTGATGTTCATAGTAGTATTCTAAACTCATTTTTGCCTTCCAATTAGACTTTTAAATCTATAAACATTTAAATTCCTTAATGCATAAAAACTAATACAGTATTTACTTGGAGAAGTTATACTTATTTAGAATTCCTTTTTCTTTCCTTTGAATTCTAGCTTTTGTCAAGAGTGACAAGCCCAAACTGTTCAGGGGACTACAGATTAAGGTAAGTATTGATTTTGACTGGTTCTTGTACTGCCTTTTTATTTTTTCTAATTAAAAACTCATAAAATAATATCTTCATATGGGATAAAATATTATAAAGCATTTAGAAATCTTTCATGCATAGAGAGCGGAAGTCCAACTAAACAAGCCAGGAACATGTTCAGCCATTTTCTAACTACTTTATTACAACATATTCTATAAGAACATGCATACACACATTCATGCACACCCAGAGTATATGCCTACCAAAAAGGACAAAAGGAGAGACCTCTTCTCATTCACTAGTCAAGATGTGAGTTGGGAGATTCCAAAGAACTCTTTGTAGGTGAATCTGTTTTCCAATTCCATACTTCCATCTTTTATGCCTAACGAGTCATGGTACCTGTGCTGATAAGAAAACTTCTTATAGCAAGTTTTCATTCACAGTTTGTTCGCCCTTGTACATTTTCTCCTTGTTTGGTGTTTTCAGTTTTTTCTCAAGGGAATAAAGCCTTGTTTATTATAAATCATGGTTTATATTTTTTTCATGTTTATCAGCTCTAAAGGGTGCTAGTTGATGGTTAAGTTTGCGTTCTTCTGCTCTCTTACTGTGTTCTCCCCTTTGTCCCCCTTCTTCTGGTCAGTTAGTAATAGGTGGATGGATATAGAACATACAATTCAGAAGAATATAGAGAATTCAAGTATACATTTTATATCAAAAGATGCAAATGATAGATTTAATCAATAATAATATAAAATAGTGACTAGCTTGGTTACTTGTATAAAAAAGAAATTTAACTTTTAAGGAGGCAATAATGTTGAATTGATATCTTCTCAATGTAAAATAACTTGTACTAGTACTGATTCATTTATAAATTTTAAAGATATGAGGGCAGTATTTTTATCCGTAATGATTTTTCAATATTATTTATATGATGGTATCAAAGTGCCTTTAAATTCTGTTAACTCCATGAATCCAGTTGCCAAGAGCTTTTCCATTGATGTTCTGTAGCAAAAATTATGCTTTCCATTGAATGAATAACACAGAAATTAGGAGTGATAATATATATTTGATCTTTTCTACTCCAACCACAACTCTGCTTTATTTAATGACAACATCCAGATAATTCTGCTGGATCTAATGTTCATCTCTGATGATGGTATTTTTTGCAGTCAGGGTCATAGACTTGGATTCACTGATCCAATTTTGTCCAGACTCAGTTAAAGCAGTACTGCCCTGTGTTTGACCTTTTCCTCAGAACATAAATAAATACAACAGCCTTTACAACAGGCTACAATAATTAACTCAGTATAAAACTGAAATTTGAACTTTGACAGGGAAGATGAGATTTGACCATGCAAAATAGGCTGAATGTTTTTAATCCAGACAGACAGTAACCTTGAATTTATTTTTCTCTACAGTATGTGCGTGGCTCTGACCCTATACTGAAGCTCTTGGATGACAGTGGGAATATTGCCGAAGAACTGAGCATCCTCAAATGGAATACAGACAGCGTAGAAGAATTCTTAAATGAAAAGCTAGAACGTCTCTAAATACTTCCTCCTTTTACAAAGAATTGAAATCTTGATTTCTCATATTACTTTTCATCATCATAATCCCATATCCCATATTACATGGATATTGATTATAAGAAATTTCAAGCAAAGCAGAGTTTATAAATTGGCAGGCTGAACAAATGGCTGTCAGGTACAGTTCAGTTCACCTTTATAGATGGAGATCTTTAATGATAGGCTTTGATACAAATCTGATGCAAATACTGAAAATTGTTACAATTTGGTTATTTTTCTTGGAAGAAAGCCTATTTGTCAGCTCCAAATAATTAGGTGAATGTTCTGTCTTTGCATATAAGTGTGCACATTAGTTATGCTGCCACTCATTATACAGGGATGGGACATTGGTACCAAATAAGATATTTTCCATTTCCCCCCAAAATACCTGCTAGCTTCCTTTGCATTTTGTATTTCCTAACTATCCTTTTTTTTAGAACTGAGAATATTCATAATGGGCCTTTGCTTTTTTTAAAAAAAATGGTGTGTGGTTTTGGAGGGATTCATGCTGTTGGATGACTGGAGAATGCTGGGGAATTGCACTTAATGATGACTACGTAGAAAGCCTTAAACGAAGGCATATGTATGTCTGATGTCAGGTGTACTTTCACTAAATTGTTTTATCATCTTCAGCAGACATGAGTTCAGTGAAGAGGAAAATTATTTGAGAGGGCAATAAATTACTTCACAAATAATGTATTGAATGAGTCATTTGTTCAGTACATTGCGATTTGATGCATTTAAATTTTATTAAATCAACCTGTTTGTGCCTCAATTACAAAGGCAACTCTAGGTGATTTTGCAAACTTGCTTAAGACAGAGACGGCTTAAGAAGAACAGTCAGTCAGTTTCTCAAGCAGGATAATAATACCAAACAAAATAGGTTGAGCTCTTGAAGTACAGAATCTGTTTTTAATCTGATCAGTTTCTTCACAGGCATGTATAAAAATTCTCATTATTGCAGCTTGAACAGTTATAACTTGAGCAGTTATGATACAAAAAAGATTGCAAATAAGTAGCTGTGGCTTCTTTCCGTTCTTACAGTTTTACTAAATATTATTGAAATAATAAGCCCAGAGCCTATAGAAGTATAAATACACATCAGCAAAACTGCTTCTTAAATATTACATTTAGGACTGCACATTATATTTTATGGGAGTGAGGTAGCTGTGCTCTTTGAATTTATATTTAAAACTGGGACTGCAAGACTCAAAAACCACAAGATGATTATATAGACAGCAGAAAAGTACATCCTTCTAATGTATGGAATTGCAGCTTGGCAGTCTTGGTGACTGAATAGTTTTGATTGGAGGATTATGGGAGTTGTAATTCAACGTATCTGGAAGGCACTAGGCTGGGGAAGGCTGATCTAATACTTTGTACTGATCAGTGAGCATGTTTGACCCACACACTAAGCCGAGCTTAGTAGATTCACCCAGTGAACAATTTCTAGATGACACATCTACAGTCAGCTGCGTTTTAACAAGTCCCCTCATTCCTCTGATAGCCAATGATCTGCAGTGTCTGAGCAGACAGTACTTCCTGGGCTATGCATGTATGACTTAAATTTTAGGAGGAAAAACTAACACTTTTGCAGCATCTTTCTTTGAAAAGTAACCTGTATTCACACACACATTGCACATGGTGGTATGAAACAAAGAGGAACAGTGAAGATTCTGCTGCAGGGGGGTCTCTGCTTTGCCATTGTCATCCCTTCCTTCCTTTACCTGGAAGAGAAGTGGCTGCTGAACAATATATTAGCTCTCGGTTGAGATTCAGATGGCACATCCAATTATGGTTAAGGTCAGCTTAGCCATAAACCATAGTTAAAGCACTTAATCACAATTTAAGCAACTGAGTTGTGGCATGGTACATAAAAGCTCTTAACTCTTCAGCTCCTGGAAATGGGGCAAGATGTAATAGTGCTTGCTCTTTCTTGGATTTTACAGAGCTTGGATTTTCACTGTTTTTCTTTTTTGATGCCACAGTAAAAATAATAAAATATTATTTGTGTATTCCTTTTATTGGTAAACTGGATTTCTTATGTAGAGTTATTGCAGGCAAAATGAAGCTAGGCAACAGAGAAGGAACGAAGAACATAAAAAGAGCCGGCTAGACCAGGCCAATGGCCCATCTGTTTCAGCATTCTGTATCATACAATGACCAGCCAGATGTATGGAGAGAATGGTGATAGCTCTCCTCCACCATTGCTTTTGAGTAGCTGGCTAAGACATGTTGCCTATGATTCTGAAAATGGCCAACAGCTATTCAAGGACACTTCAGATAACTTTAAATTGTTGGCTGTTAGTAAACTTCATAGCAGCAAATACTGAGTTTAACCACACATGCATTTTCTGTTTAATCATAATTTCCATTGTGTTACTCAGAAGAGATAATACTTTATTCAGATGTATTGGCAGCTTCAGTCACAAACAACCCTGCAGCATATACCTCACAAATCCCAGATGACCACACAAGACATTGCCCATATCCTGGATTCTGCCCAACCAGCATCTAACTCCAAGTGAAGGGATTGGCAAAAAGGTTTCAGTGGGTAGGAGGAGGTTTTTTTTCCTCCACTATTTCCAAGAAAGGAGCAGATAACTCTAAAGTTGCCGGATGGTGTAGAGAGCATAGGGAATGGCCTTGAAGGAAGGACAGAAGGAAGAACTACCAAGGCAACAGTCAGACAAGGGGGCCTTGAGCCTGGGCCAAGAAAATAACTTGAGAAAACGTCTCAGACAAACCCTTCCCTAGTTCACAAAAAGGGAGAGGGAAGCACATTCAGATTTGCAAGATTCTGTTACTATAGCTGTTACAATAAAAGTCATGACCTATATGGCATTGGTTTTTGGTCTGGTCTACCTTGTAGGCTAACAGATGGTGATCTACACACTATAAGAATGTGACAACACAAGTTTTTAAAGTATTTTCCACTTCTTTTACTGTTCTGCAGAATATTTGGCTGCTATAAAAACTAAATAGACCATGAGGGAGAGAGGAGTTCTAATTTAACGTGCAGGGTATATGAGTTTCCTATTCAAAAAGACTACAACACAACCACAGAAAAGCACAAGATAACAGAGGCAACACCTCATCTCAAAATCATTCACAAGTTGCCTCACTAGGAATATGTTTTTGAGATTTATTTATTTATATATATACAAATTTGTTGTGGATATTTGGAATGTTTGGGGTGTTTTACTATTTTATTGACATCTTGCCTTTTTTTGTATTGAGAATTTGCTTTGTTTTTCTATACGGGCTTCCTAAGCAGATTAGTATCATGTCAGTATTCTTCTGACTTGACTAGAAGAAAGGAATATGCTTTTAGCTCCAGAAAAGCTGCAGTAGACAACATAAACAGCTGAGACATTAATTCAGCTTGTTGATCCATTTACTCCTGATAAGCACCAGACTTTTCATACTCCTAAATTAACTTAGTGTTAATTGAAAGTTGAGCAGTCTGCATCTATATTACTGATGTCTTAGAAATATTATTAAAAAGCTATTCTGGTCCATAATAGGAAAGATGTAAAATTAAGCCTGGTCTTCCTGGAAATGCTCAATGTCTGGCTGCTTCTCACTCTCACCCTGTATTAGCACACTGTCCATATGGCCTTGGCCACTTAGGTGTGTCCTAGATTCAGTTCTTATGCAGAAAGATAAAACAATGGCCAATATTTCTGATTCACATGCAAATGCCCCGTTTCAGTTGTGTATAGCAACATTTAATTTGACCTAGCTTACAATTTCACATGTTGCTTCTTATGTGTTTGCTTATTTCATTCATAACTATTCATGTAAGTCATATTGTGTCAGACTAGACAGGGAAACCATTAATGGCAGGGCAACATATAGAAGAGCAATGTCAATAGGTTTGCTCTCATACAGTTTCTTAGGCATTTTCCACACCCCACATTAATGATGTGAGCACAGACTACTGCATTGTCCAGCAACGGGGCCAAACAAAATTATTGTTACCCTGCTCATATTGTTCATCAAGCTACAAGAATCTTGAAAATTTGAATTTGGTCACCATTTCAGGCCACAGAAATTGAAGCACTTGTCAGACTGGTCTCAAGAAAAGATAAAATGGCATGTAAAAGAAAAAAAATGTGGAGTCTGGAAAGCATTATATGCAGAGATAAAGAAGCTAATTTTCTGCTAATCAGATTTGACATTAGGAGGGAGATGAGAGTTAAATTACATATGAGGCTAACCACATTAGAATTGGGGGGGGGGAACAGGTGCATGGCAAGAAAGCAGTCAAAACTGAGCATGGAAAGCAATTTAACACTTTCCTGTCATAGGGCTGATTTTAAAAAAATCACACCTAAATAGATATTTTTCATTACCCTTCTAACTAGTTTCAGAAGCTATTCCTATTAGAAGTTATGCCAATAGCAGTTTGGGGACGAAGCTACTTTGGATGGGCATGCAGGATGGATGAGTTGAACTCTGTATCTGAAATCCTGATGAAAACCCTAGTCCCATTATCCATATTGTTTTTAGTTTGCTGTTAGATGCGCTTGACATAACTTTAGCATCATGCCAAGCTTAGCTGTAAGATGATCTAGACCGCGGATTGTTAGTACTACAATCATCACCATCATTGTGGGGATAACATTTCAACTTTCTGTCAAGGAGATGTCTTTCAGCTGGTTGCATGGCCAAGCTGGTTATGCTTTGCAAAAGTATAGAATATGGGATATAAAATGTGATGTGAAGGTTTGCATTTAGAAAAATCTGTTCTTAGGTTTCTTGATTAGCTATACTCATTGATGTCAATTTGCATCTATAGAATAATGCTAAAAACTCAAAACTTCTTGAATATACCAAGAGAACACATAAAATGTAATTATGACCAAAAAGTCCCATTCACACAGAATTAAGGTTTCAACTAACACTCCCAGAGCTTCAGAGTGTTTAAAAGCATGCCATTTTTTAAAAAAATTAGTTTATACTTAATTATTGGTAGAATTGAATGCTCATAGTTCAATGGTCTTAAGACTACAGATCAAATTATTAGAGATGGTGCACATAGGAGTTGTATACTTACTCTAATCCAAGACACCATTACAATGATGCAGTCATTGTGCAGCCTCTCTGCACTTGAAGTGCAGCCTCTCTGCACTTATTATCCAGAATGTATTTTCTTACAGCATCAATCCTGTGACTAGCCCAAGATTTAATTATTAATATATGGTTTCTATGGATAGCCATTTTGAACACCCAAGGAGAATACTGTACATATTATTTAAACTACCAGTTGAAGCTGATCTTTAAAAGCTCTGATGTTAGAAGCAAGAAGGAACCAATTTGTGGATAAAGAGTTCAGGGACAGATTAAGATTCCCAGATGTCCCTCCAATTTAGAAGGATATGTATGCCATCCCTATAGCTGGATATTTCACTGTTGGTTCACATGGGAGGGAAATTAATAACTTAAGGGGGAAAAAACTAGCAAGAAGCCCTCTCACTGAGCTGGCCTGAAGCCAGGAGGGTTTGGATAAAGTTAAATTTCAGCATTCCCTAGCCTCAACCAGTATGACTGAATTATGCATCGGCATTCAAATCCGATCTTTAGCAATCCAAATTCAATACTAATGACTCCCATGCTTGCAAAAACAGGATAAAAGGATGCAGTTAAATTAAGAGAAGGGAACCAAGAGAGAGGTTGGAAAATGTGGCCAAGGATTGAGTTGTATTGTAGCTGAGATCTCTCATGTAGAAGCACTCCCAATATGCCAGCATGGTTTTGATACTTGACAATAAAGGAGAGGCTTTCCACCCAAACTCCAAGACCTTATTCTTGTATTGCAGAATTGGAGTCTAGCCTTGAAACAGCATTCCACTGAGACTTGGCTCAAGTTAAATCCTTTGCAGACTGGAACATACATTGCCTTGGGTAAACTGAGAGGTCACAATAGATCAAAACAAACAAGGTTCATCTCCCAAACATCTGCTTTCAGATTTGTGCTAAAGAATTGAAACTAGAATAACGTTTTGCAGATTTCCACTCATTTTGGAGCAAGGCATTAGAGCCTGACATGATTTTTTTCCTTCTCATCTTCAATTTTACCAGGGGAAAAAAGAGAAATGTATCCCACCATTACTAACCAGATATCTAGTTCCCTCCACCCAAAACTGATGTGCCTGTACACTCACTTGTGCTGCCTTCTCAAGTTACTGATTGTGTTTAACACAAAAAGCCTCATTGATGTTTACATTACATGAACTGAATTAGTCACAGAGTGTCTAATTTTATGAGGCTTCATTCCTAAAACTCAGGGCCTCTGCAAGTATGCATAATTTGGTCCCTCCACTCACTAATGCAGGTTTTTTTTCTCCCTCATGGAAGAATTACTTACTGGTGTGTAGGGAGCTCAGATGCACTAAATGCTAGGGCGCCACCTTTATTCTTATAGCAAACCTTTCAAAAATCTTAAGGTTAAAGATAATATTCCTCAGAAATGGATTAAGAACACTAACAGAGCCCATAGCAGACCACTTTAAGTTGAGATGACAGGAAAGGGGAGATAATGACTGTACTTAATTTCAGTTGGTTTTTCAGGTTCTAAGCTAAATTGAAAAAGCTGTCTGATACTGAGCCAAAGTTGCCAACCTAAAACTAAAGCTTCACACTTAGTGTGTTAAAAATATTTTTTTAAAAAAACCTTGTAAATCAAAGCAGGACTTTTTGCAGTTCTTAATCTTTCTTCGGAGCAAAGGGGTGAGAATTCCTGAAGAACAACAGCTGTTAGCAGCATTTGAACAAGCAGAGTGGGGCCAAGAAGGAAAGCTATTCACCATTCGGTGTGATTTTTTTTTTTTGGGGGGTTGGCTCCTCTTGGATAAATGATTGGTCTTGCCATTGGACCCATAATAAACATTTCCATTTACACTGGAATTTGATGCCACCAGTCTACTTGAAACTGTTATGGCAGCCCTCATAGCTCTATGCTCATAATAATACCCATGTGAGGATCATCTGCCAAGCATCAA